CTAAAAATGAATTAACTTATTTTTAGTGATCCTAGGGTTTAAACTTAGGGTTTTTTTCTTTGCTCATGAGGTGTTTACCTCTTGAGCCTCCAGTTCTTTATGATTTGGTTATTATTTAGGTAGAGTTTCGCTTTTTTTTTTTTTTTTTGCCTAGGCCAGCCTGGACTGTGATTCTTCCAATCTCTGCCAACCAAGTAGCTAGGAATTTAATCCCTGGCTTGTGGTGCTAATTTTGTATTGTCTGGAAGTTGAGTAGACCCTAAAGAAGCTTTGTTAGTTAGCTTTGTCAATTTCTTCTTTAAAGGTAGGCTTGTTTTGCTTTGGTCAAAGGAATTGATAACTGGGCTTTCAGCCTTAAGGCAAGTCTATACACCAAGGAATTCTTTAGTACATATTCTAAAATTCGTAAAAAAGAATTCTGCTTGATTCAGAACTATTAATCTTTTTATTGCTACCAGTAAAACCTCAAATGGGCAGGTAAATAGACTTCATTTTCTCCCATAGAAGCTACTGAACTTGAGAATCTGCAAAATATGTTGCCTAAAAAAGCCTTGTTCCCCTCTTGGTTGAAAGGAGGTAGTCAGGAGATGCTGGAGAGAGAAGAGGGTTTTTTTTTTTTTTTGAGGGGGGGGATGGTGGTAAAGCAATTTCCTTGCTTCCTTTTCCACTGTTGCACCCCAATAATACATTGGAAGCTGTATGAGATTTGGTTTGTTTTTATTTGATATTTGAAAGTAGATCAAATGCTTGTGAAAAAAATATCACTGGATTGGCGGTCCTAGAAACTAAAGTGTCCCGGAAGCAATGTGGGCCTGGAAATATCCCACTTTTCTACTTATTTTGGCAGTTCTACTTAAAACTAGTAAGAGCTGGAGTTCATGCTACCATTGAAATTTCCCTAAGCAACATGAAATGAAAACACATACTACATTTGATTTTAACTGGCTGAGAAAAATGGTGGGTTTTTTTTTCTGAATAATTCATTGTATGACCCCCAAAATAAAAATGTTACCAGTTCTTCATGTGGGAGACACAAACTATGATTTAAATTAAAATTATTTAAGAACTAGGGGTTCTCCAAGTTGGAAGTGATCGTGACCTTTGATCACCCAGTTCTCTTCGGTCATGTGCTTGAGAATCTACTACCAAAACACCAAAAAGTGTTGGCAAGCTAGGCTTGACCTTTTTGGTGTTATGAGATTTACTTCTACTTCAGGAGACTCCTTTTTCATATAGCTCTACATTTCAAAAGTAACTACAATAAGATTAGCTATTACTTCAGTAGTACATATATAATATTATGTATGCACATATACATGTGTATGCATATGCACTTTTTCATTCATATACACACTCATACAAATATAAATTATATATACATATAGTATATATATATATATATATATATATATATATAAAGTCATAAGTCTTAGGGCCTCACAACTATTATGGGGTATATTTGTTACCCAAGTTTGACAGATGAGGGAACCAAGGTACTGGTAAGTTAGATTATTTGCCTAGTGAGCTAGTGAAAGATCCATGACTTAAACTCCGGCAGCCGGATTCTATATTATGTGACTGTCTGACTTTTGCGTTCTTTAAATGACTATATTGTACTGTTTCTCAAATACTTATAGTGCTCCTTCATGTTTCACATTGTTTTTCATATTATAGATGATCAAGTATTTTCCAATAATTTTATTTCAGGATCATGAAACTATATATATATCCCAATTAGCTTTATACACGATCATCCATTTTCTTTAAGAGAAGCATTTGAAATTGAGAGAGAAATTTTAAATAATTATTAATATTCAACTCACTTCAATAAAACATTGAAGGGACTAATCAATAAATAACATTCAATATAAAGTGTTTAGCCAGCTTCAACCTGTTGGAGTAGGTCCTTGAACAATTTCAATTTAGGCTAGAGAAGGACATTTCAAACAGATGAAATTTCTGTTAACAAATCTCCTTTGCCTTTCCTAGCTTATTCTGTACTTTCTTTGCTATCCGATGAAGAAAGAACAGGATTATTTTATCTTAGCAGTGTGACTTATTTTTATGATCTGTTTCCTACCATGATGCATCTGCCTGAATCTGTCAACCTACCCCTTAATCCACCCACTGTTCATCTATTTATCTGTCATTTAGCCATCTATCCATCCACCCATCCATCCATCTTCCCATCTATCTATGTATCTATTCATTTAGTATTATATTCCATGGACCCAAGACTTATGGCATGATATCAATAATGGAAAGGAGATGAAAAGTGCTATTTTATTCTACTTCTTTTTTTTTTGTCAGCATCAGGGTTTGAACTAAGGGCCTTGTTTGCTTGGCCTGCTTGCCCTGCTGGAGTTCTACCACTTGACCTATACCTCCAACCAGGCTTTTTGCCAGTTATTTTGGAGATAGACTCCTGCAGACTTTTCTGTCCAGACTGGCTTCAAATTACAATCCTTTGGACCTCAACATCTTAAGTAGCTAGGATTACAAGTAGGAGCCACTAGCATTTGGAATCTTAGTTCCTATTATATGATGATCATGTGCAGGTCTGCAAGAGTTGCTTCAGAGTTGAGAAAAACTACAATATGAAGAAGTATATTTTAATACGTTGTTTGGGATCAAAGGGACTCTAACTAGAATGTTCTATTGCTTTGTTCAAGTTCTTGAATAACATTTATAGTTTGTCCAAACCTTTCCACAGAACATACACTTTGAATGCTTCTGATGAGCTGTAGTCCCTGGAAGAGCCATATGCATTTGCAGGCTCTGCGAAGCTGATAAATGTACTCTTAGCCTGTGCCTGAAACAAGCCCCAAAGCATGTTTTCTTAATGGAACTCAACCTCTTCTGAATAAGATGACTGGCCAGATGATAGCAGCATGGCTTTTGTCTAGTCTGAGAAAACAGGTTCCACTTTTCAAACAGAGCTGCAGTAGTCTGGCTCCCATATGAGCTTTGCCACGCTTCATTGGCTCTCTTCCTCCTGGATGGAGCTTTGGGCATTGCCATGACATTGGAGAGATCCCAGGTTGTCAGTGAGGCATTGAGGAAGGAGCATCCTGAAGTAGAACGCATGGCAGGAGCATGAAGGACGTTTCTTCAATGTGGGCTACTTGGGTGAAATATTTTGCCTGGTTTTGCATCATTTTCTCGTCCCCATGTGTCATCATTTACTTCCTTGCGCACTTCTCTCTTGTACTCCTTCTTAGCACCTACAATGCACAATCTGAATGCTACTGAGAGGTTTTGGTTCATTTTCTATGAAGATTCATCTCCAGTTGATTAAGTCAAAGGAAGTGAAGGAGATGCTATCTACAACCTAATTTCTGTGATTCTATTTTGCTTTTCTTCATCTTCAGGGAAAACTGAAATTCCTGTTTTATTCACTTCCTTTATTTCTCTACCAGAAAACTGTCAAATCATTTTCATCAGACTTCATATGTCCATTTCTTCCCCCTCCTTTCCTTTTGAAATTCTCTTAGTTGATTTTATTTTGATTATGCTGTTGTCTGCTGGTGGGAAGGAAACAGGCTTAGTGTTTAAGAACATCTTTACCCATTTGGAGAGCTCAGTGTCCTTGTCTTTAAAATGAAGGGATCAAGCCAATTGAATTCTGAAGCCTCTTCTATCTCTAACAATACAGCCTTGGTCTTTTATAGAATAGAAACTCTTAGGTTGTAGATATAAAGTATTCTAAGTCTGTATGCATATGAAGGGGCTGGGAGAAGTGAGAAGATGGTCAAAAAGAGAAAAAGAAAGTATGTGTGGTGGGGGGAGAGAGAAGAGGAGGAAGAAGAGGAGGACGAGAAAGAGGAGGAGAGGCAAAGTAGTGGGTTTTCCAATACATAATCAAAGAGCTGTATTTGGACATCAGAAGTCGTCTTTATGGACTGAATTGTGTCTGCTTCCCACCACCCCACCCCGATTAAGGTTCCACCCTTCATATTTCATGGAGATAGGGTCTGTGGTAGGAGTCCTTAAGTGAGGGTCTCTACTAACCCAGTCTGTCTGATGTCCAAGAAAGAAGATACTTAGGCACAGGGAGATAAACAAAGGGAAGGTAACAGAGATTCAGGAAACACTTGAGTCACATCCTTTCTGATACTTGGAATTTGGACTTCCAGTCTCCAGAGTTGTGAGCAAAAGCATTCCTGTGATTGAAGCCACTTAGTCTGTGGTTCTTGGTGATGGTCACCTTAGCAAATGAATACGCCTTGTACGTTGAATATGAAAACGTGGACAGAAAAAGCAAAAACAGTTCAGTGGCCTCTCAGAGGTTACGTCACAGGCCTTTATGTAAATACCTGATGCCCTTTGGCCTCAACCCTGGACTTGACTAAGAAAACGCAGCCTCTAGTGACATTGCAGGAAAGGAAATCTGGGAACTTCCATGACACAACTCAATCTTGCTGAGAATTTGAGGCTAATATTTAACTCTGAACATATATTGACATGGGCCATTTCTTCTATAACCGAGTTGTATAAAAATTTAAAAAGCACATGGAAGCCTTGATTTGTATTGAGTTCTGTCTCTCTAGTTTGGTGGAAGGAAAAGGGAAGGATCTGTCTGTCTGTCTGCCTCTTTTATAATTTTGTTTTCTTTTTGATTTTGTCTCCCCCCCCCCCCCTACATTCTTTGCATTTTCTCAGGCATTCAATTTTCCTGTTCCATTTTTTCCCCTCATGTTTATTAGCTGAATTCTACAACAGGTTACTTCTACTTCAAAACATGCATCATCTAGCTTTATCAGTGCTACTGTTCTTCATTTCCTTTCCAACATTTCTTGCTTTTCTGTATTGCTGTCTGTTCCTCTCTCATCCTGGTCTCTGTCTGCTTAGTCCTTCTGTCCTCCATTTTCCTTCTGTGTCTTTGTGTCCACAGTTCCTAGCTCCCGTCTCCCTTCTCTGCTCTTTCTTCTTTCCTCTGATAGGCTGACTTGCTTCTGTCCCCTCTTGCTGTTCCCCTCGTGGGTGTGTCTTTGGCCCACCTTTCCTTCTCCTCTGAGGCTTCGTTTTCTTGTTGGAAGATGGGGGCTGAGACTGTAAACATCACAAAAACAATTGCATTGAGAATAGTTCGTTCCCACGGTGTCCCTGAAGACAGAGTCTCTGAGTCAGCCCAGGATGCCCAGGTTCCATAGGTAGCAGAAGACAGCATTGGTACTGAAGAGGGATCTATACCTTAGTCATGAGTCCTGGCATTCCAGAACTTTGGGACTCATCTCTGACACCCACTTCCTCCCCAGCCTAGACATTGAGAGGCACAGGTTCATATGGGGACAGAAAAAATGAACATGCTTTTGCCTCTTCTTGTGCACCTTCCTGCCTGGTGACACCAATTTCTTCTGTGGCTGTTGCTTACTGCTTCACTGTTGGCTATTGTGTGTTGTGTGTTCTAGGCCCTAAGTGGTCCCCTTGTAAGCCCTAGGGTGATGCTGCCACTAAGCCTCCATGGTCCTTCTTCAGCCTTAGCTGTGATTTAGGACCAGGAGACAGCACAGATGTCACGAATTATTGGTTGTCTTGTCTTTATTTTTTAGTTGATTTTAAGTAGTTGTACCAAATGGGTTTCAATTCAACAAATCAGATTAGGAGTCCAATGCAGCGATCTTGACCATTGTTACCACTTTCATTGTTATCCCTTATCCCTCCCAATCCTATCTATACCCTTAAGTTATGTACTACTTTCTGAGCAATGTTAGTTTTGGCTTTAAAGTTTAATACCACATGTTGGTTTTTATTTTTCTTTAACAAAGTCCCCCAAGAGACTTAAGTGTCCTTTCTTTACTCGTATTCTTTTACTTTTTCCTTCTCTCTCTATCTCTCTTTCTTTCTTTTTTTCTTTCTTTCTTCTTTCTTTCCTTCTTTCTCTCTCTCTTTTTCTTTAGCTCTTATTATTTCTACTTGAAGATTAACATTTTATTTTGATCTTGATATGCATTTATTTCAACAAAAGCCTGTCACATGACCAATGTGTATCATATGTTTTATGTGTTTCTGCTGTTATCATTGGTACTTCCCAGGTTGGTATAAAGTCACACTTGTGGAAAAAAAGACTTCTGCAAATTTTGATTATTAGAAAGTTCTAAGTGTTCTTTAAATCACAGAAAATTCTATTATCAATGAGTTTAAATTATATTTGCCAATTTCAATTAATTTCTGCTGGAGACTCTTGTTTCTCTGGGCACCACTGCAGAATCCCAGGACTGACATGTTTTGTTATTAAGGTCAGTTATGACAGATATTAATCCCTTCCCAATAGTAATTTTATGCAAGCATATGAGAAGCGTATTGAAGTATACACATTAACTTAGTTAATTTTGACAACATTCTGTTGTGGTAGATGTCATTATGTACAGATAAAACTGAATCTTGGGTAGGATAAGTTATTTGGCCCAGGAGCCTCAGAGCAGGTGACTTCAAGATTTGTCTCATACAAAGCCTATGTTTACTCAATGTTTTTTTTTTTTAACCATCTTCTAGTTACTAGATTGCCAGAGCAGTGCAACAGAGAATAATCATAAGGATGGACAGATAATCCATCTTGTTGGTGGGAATGGAGATGTTTTTATGTCCTCAGCCAGGAAAACTATGGTACAGAATTTCTGTTTGGCCCATCCAAGACAGAGATTACTTGGAGATGGTTGGATCCCACCTATGGAGGCTTACCTTCTGAGTCTTGGGCATATCAGTGTGGCGCTGGGCACGGACAGAGCGGGCAGACTTGGCAGGCTTAAGGGGAGCACAATACATCTCCAGCCTCCTCAGATCACAGCTCCGGAAGCAGCACTCATCCACGATGCCTGTTTGAGGTGCCCTCCGACTGCTGGAGCCATAGCCAGTGGGCTTGTCTGTAAGGATCAGACATAGTGGCCTGCTGTTAAAGTGCAATCTGTCTGACAGCCCGGCCTGACACCTCCTGTCTTTACATTGTCCATACACATCCTCCATCATCTCATCTTCTTGAAACTTTCCCAACCGTGCCTGACACCACAGATACTTTGGTATTCAAGTAGCTCTTGGAATCTATCCTACACTCATTCACTCATTCATTGCACACTTTATTTTCTGTTATTTCTCCCCACATTCCTAGTAAACTGTGATCAAGAATCTTGCTTTTATGCAACCCTAGCTTTTGCTTATATATTGGACTAGTTTTTTTTTAACTACCTGTTTACTTCATTTTTTTTTTTTTTTGTCCGGTTGTGGGGCCTGAACTCTGGGCCTGAGCACTGTCCCTCAGCTCTTCAGCTCAAGGCTAGTGCCCTACCACTTAAGCCACAGCGCCACTTCCGGCTTTTTTCTTTTTGCTTATGTGGTGCTGAGGAATCGAACCCAGGGCCTCAGGCATGCAAGGCAAGCGCTCTACCACTGAGCCAACTTCCCAGCCCCTGTTTACTTCATTTTTAAAATGTGTAAAATACAGGATTATATTTTGGCATGGGTGAACATTGTACCAAGATCATCTCAGGATATTTATCAGGATATTTAGCTTATCTGTCTCCTTAAACATTTGGGAAAGGACATCCTCTTCAATAAGTGGTACTGAGAATAGTGGTTATCCTTAATCTTTGTAGCAAATATGTGTAGTTTTATATATAGGACAGCTCAGTTGATTGTTTGTTTTGTCTAACTGCTTCCAGGGTTGGGTATGGAAGAGGTTGCAAGTCTCCAAGATTTTACTCCTCATTTTATTTATATGAAAACAGACTTTCAGAATGACTTGTTTAAATTTTGGTATATTTGCTACCAAGTCCAAGTGCATCATCAAGAGACCTGATACATAACTTTGGACAGGTCACCAAAACCTTGAGGTATTAGTTTCTCCATTTTTTTGTCAAGTGGAGTTAATAACATCTTTCTGTTCAAAACTGAGGATGACATGAAACGTATTAGATAACATAAATTTATGAAGAGTGCCTAGAATAATCCCTGAAACCTACTAGGTCTTCAGTATTTGCTTCACCTTTAAATAGCCTTTGTGGAGTCTTATGTGGTCCATGAAAACTCATCCAGAAGCCTTGGAACTTAGAAATGATAATAATACCAATGGGCTAGTACCCTTCTTCCTTCACCACAGAAAGACTGGAACATTGTCTCTGTTTTCTTATAGAATTACTAGTACACGGAGACAGAATGAACTAAATCATTGTTCATCTTTCATGTGATTCTAATTGCCCTGAGGGAATACCATGAATCAAGTTTCTTTTGATATTTTCAAATCAATTAGGCCTCTTGGCAAGTAAGTTTTAGTTTGGTTTTATTTTGTTTTATTTTGAGCATACTGGTTCTAAGGCTAAAAGAAAGGGCAAAACAAGCTCATGTGGAACTTAACATACACTTCAATTATTTGCCAACTTTTTGTCACAGGAGATCTTTGGTTAAACCCAATCTTGCCTCTACTGAAGTATAGAAAACAGACAAAACATGAAGCTGTGCTAGTTCAGGAAGGGTTAGGGGGTCTGGATCGTTGCTTCATTCTCATCTTCTCTTTTGTTGGTAAGCTGCCTAGGTTTTCTCCACTGACATGCAATGTCTAGACTTTAGGGAAGAAGATGTGTGAAGCCCCCATCTATAAGCATCCAATTCACAGTCTGACACATCATCCATCTTAATTCCTAACCCCAAACAGCATTATGTTAAATAAAACAATCCTCTGTCCATTTAACAATACCTATTATACTTAAGGATGGGGATTGGAAAGTCAAAATCCTCAGAGGCATTTTGAACTTCCTCAATGGGGGAGATCAGGGCCCTAGGCTTGCTACCAAACTACCTTGGCTGCCTTGATGGTGGAAAGGCCAATCATTCGTGGCATTCTCTAAGAACCTAAATGTTTTCCTGATGCTTGGCACAGGAGCCTCATAGCTGCTTCCTCCAGTAAGGCAGGTTTATTGTCATTCTTAGGGCAGCTGGAGGTAGTAACTTAAGGAGGGTTCATTTGTGGTCTCTCTGGGCGGGCCCTACTGCTCTCTCCTGGTTGGGAGGAACTAGGCAGCTGGCCTCAAGTGGAGCCTCAGCAGTGTGTGCACTGGCCATTGGAGGGAAGTCTAGCTCAGAAGTGGACTCTCTGCTTTTGCTGGCTAGCCAGGGCTGGCAAGCAGAGACTGGACTGGTCCCCTGAGCAATGTAAACAATGTTGTTGTTTTTTTTTCTTTTTTATAATCTTTTCCTGGGACTATAAATTAGAGGAAAGTTACAAATGGGCTTACATGATTGTTTGTAATCCACAAAGGATTTCTACATTCTTTTTGCTAACTGGTAGCCAGTCAAGAGTGGAGGTTATACTTGGGTTTTTCTCTTGGGGTAAGGAGAAAGGAAAAGGTGACTTGGCCTATTTTGTTGCAAGTGTGCTGGTAGTCTCTTTTTCAGGTGATGAGTGCTGTTTGTTGTGATTAGAAATTTCAAATGGGAGACATTCGTTGATTATGGTAATTTGATGTTTGGGGTGGGGTTGTAGGAGTGGTTCCAGAAACTTTCAAACTTAGCCAATTCAGAAACAACTGATTTCGAAACTTGGGCTCATGAGTTGAAAACAGAGAGCTTTTCAGAGATTTGGGAATTCCAAGACCATTTCCATTTTGAGTACCTCTAACTTAATCTTGTTTCTAAGATTCCTGCTATGGCAAGAGGAATCAACTTTCTTCTTTGTATGACAGAGAAAATTCTGTTATTGGTACTGGTGTTGAATTCAGGACCTTGAACTTGGTAGGCAAGCACTCTACCACTTGAGCCATGACCCATCGCAGCAGGGGGCATTTCTGTGCATTGCGTATTTCATTTTTGGTGACTATCAAGAGCCATGAAACTTCCTGCAGATCTGTTTCCTCTTGTGAAATAGATAGCAATCATCTATCATCACAGCAAAAATAACACACCCCGCACAACTGTTTTGTTGTCTCTTTCAAATGAGCTCAGAGTTTGATGTGGCTCAGTCTTTAAAGAAACTTGTAGTCCAGGGTTTTTAATACTATGCTTTTTAGTCCATAGGCTGGTAAACTTTGGAACAGATAATTTTAAGACTTACAAAACATAATGTCCCATATGGAAAGTTGATCTTAGGTTCATCTTTGTTTTCTGAAAAGTTATTGAAGCAGTGGTATACATACTTGGATTTTCCCATAAACACAACTATCAGCTATCACTAGCTACCATAATTCTAGAGAGAGATTTTTTCTTTGTCTATTCATAATGCCTACAATGGACTCATTGTGCCCTATTCAAAAATATATGAATATGACAAGTGTTTACCTATGCCTTTTCAAGTTTTAATTCATCTTTTGAAGAGTCCTGTAGGCTTGATTTCTAGTTCAATATTAGGATGTTTGATAAACAATAAGAGTTTCTCACTAACAGACAGAAAACAACTGTGGGACAATGTTTTGTCCTTCCTTTCAAATGCTTCACAGTCCTCTTTTTCTCCAGAGCCACAATAAAAATATTTCCTGTTATGGGCTAAAACAAGAAGCATGACACAATATAGTTTATTGGAAAGTCAATAAAATAATTTGATGGAGTGTCTATTTGGATAAAAGTGGTATTTTAATTTTAGTCACTATTTTTTAAATGAAACAAATTTAATCATTCCATCTTTGCCTTTAAAAATTCTTCTTTAAAAGCAGAGGAAGAGTGAACGAATGCAATCATGGTATTCAGTATACACTATGTATAAAACAAACTATGCAATTTGTGGGCAAGGTTGGAAAGGGGAACTGGGGGAAAACAAAGAAAGGGATGACGTTTTCTAAAAAGAATTATATTCATTATCTGATTTATGAAATGCAATATAATAATAATAATAAAAATTATATTAAAAGAAAAAAATAAACCCTCCCCCTCTTTATATAACTGCTCTGGTAGGCAGAATCAAGACTGGAAAGTTATAGGGAAACAAATAATGGCTTAATATAGGGAAAAAAGTTTTTTAACACACCCATGTTAAAAACAGGACAGACTTCTTCCAAAAGTAATGAATAGCCCCTGGCAGAAAGCAGTTAAATAAAGGCTGTAAGAACACCTATCATAGTCTCTAGGAGCAGATTCCTGTATTAAACCCAGTGAATGTCTGCGGTGGTTTTTCCTATTCCAGAGATTCTATGAAGATATGGAAGAGAAAACTCTTCGAGGGTAAATATTTGCTATGGTTGGAAGCCATTTGCTTTGGCTTTGAGATAGAGGTTCAGATATTTTCACTTAGGTGGTAAAAATTTGTTTTCTATTTATCATTTGAATTCTCTAAGATGCTTCATTGTTCATTTATCCTTACTCAATGCAACAGTAAACAACAGGTGGGCTGGGGCAGTCCCTTCTAAAATGAGGTACAGGCACAGAGTTCAGTTGTACTGACGTTATGACTACATACTCACTCAAATATTAGAGAAAACAAGCATGTATAACATTCCACAGATGTTTTTCTTGCTGACAAAGCCCTAGCACTGAAAATTTACATACTTATTTGTTTTGTCAAAAATTTTGCTTCAGAGATTTCCTAGTATGTAGACCAAAATATTACTTAGCAGACAAGTTGACCACCAGTTAATCTAGACTCTGACTCTCCTATGAGTTGACATAATATTTAGTCATGACACACTGCTATATCTTGAAAGTTGGCCAACAGAATTCCAATGGCTCAACAACTAGCTTCTATAATAATAGCACTGCCCTTTGAATAATGCATGGTCAGGGGAGTAATTCGATAATCTTCAGGGTAAACTTGCTAGTTACAAGGGTTTGGGGCAGAACTGTGGCATCATCAAAACCACACCGGTTAGCTGAGTCTCACATTTTGTCATGGATGCAAGCAATTCGCACTCCTTCGTTGTTGAAGAGAAATGCAAATGATGCTGAGATT